TTGGGGGAAATAGTAAGGGACTGGAAATTCTTTTCGAAAGAGAAATACTTTCCGGGCTCCAAGGTGGCTCCATCGGTAACGTGTCCAGCTTTGGCTCAGGTCAGAACCTCATGGCTTGTGAGTTCGAGCCCCGCATTGGGCTTTCTGCTGTCAGCACAGAGCTTGCTTAGGATCGCCTATTCCCTTCTCTTTCTGCCCCTCTCCCACTCCTGCTCTTCCTCTCAAAATAAATAAATAAGGTTAAAATAAAGATAAAGAGGAATACTTTTCTAGAATTATTGCTTAAAGAACATTTTATGAATCTGGCATCACATGGTGACCTTGAAAGATAGTATCATACTACTTGACTGATTAACGTCCTATCTTAACAGTTAAGAGAATTTTGAAAGTCTCAGTAATAATGATTGGGATTACTGAGTTAACGGACATTCTTGGTACTATTTGAAGCAATTTTTGCTAGAAGGGGTGTGTCGGAAGGTTAAATGTAAATTTTTTTTGTCCCTCAAAAATAATTCAAAAAGGTTGCTAGAATACAAAAAGGAGAAATTATATTTCTGATTTTCTTTAGTTTTTACATTTTAGAATTTCTCTCAGAAAGATTTAATTCTGTTATTCAAGATTAATTAAAGCATATGGGCAGTTGTGTGAGTCTTCTAAACTTTTTTTTAAATCATCTGTGTGATTCCCTACTTGTTGAGCACTATGATTTCAGTCTGGAGTGAGGGTTGATGGTCTGTGGAACAAAGTGAAACATGTAGATTTTCCCTCTCCAGCAGCGAGTGTCTCACTGGCCAGAACATACATACACACAAAATTTCAAGTAATAGTATGGGGCTCCCCGTGATTAGTGGTTGCAGACGCAAAGAATAACACCGTTAGGTTATGAATAGGAAAACCCTTCTTCGTGTGTAGCATTCATTTTTCAGGTGTTTATTGAGCACTTACTAGTGTAGAGCAGAAAATAAAGCATATTACAGATCAGGCATTTAGAGATTTGTTGACTATGGCCAGTAAATAAGATAGATCCTGTGTCTTCCCCCAGATTTCTCATAGATTTTCTTGGGGACAAAAAGAGCCATCGAAATGAATCATAACAATTTGGTGATGCAAGGGCTGGTAGGTAGGTGTTAGAGTGCTGTGTGGGCTGATCTGGGACACAAGAGATGGACAGGGTAGAGTGGGATGAAGGAGGCATTCCAGGCCAAAGCACAGTTAGTAGTGATTAATGTTAGTTTGTGTATGGAAGTTTTCAAGAGAAGGAGGCTATAATAACTTTCATTCGATTTATTTATGCTGTAGAATTATGACCCCAAAATGATTGAGAACCCAGGGCATAGTCCCTCAGAATAGTCTGCCCTTGAGCCATCATAGTCCCAGGTGTCTGTCAGGTGATTGAAGAATCTTCCTAAGCAAAGACACACCCCTCCTCCTCTCAGGTTTCCTCCCACAAACTATAGTACAAAACACCAGATGGAAATATTTTCTGTATTAGTCTTGGAGGATCTGTCTCTCTCTCTCTCCTTGTGTATGTGTGAGAGAAAGTGAAGTTTGTTTTTTGGATTAGTTGTAGCTGAGATTAGGGGCATTGAAGAGTGTAAAAATTGATAGTCACTGAGTTCATTTTACCGGTCTCTTTAGTGAAAAGAAGTTTCCTTCCCTTACTTTACCATGTTTACACCTAACTTAAGAACTAATTTCTCTAATGGGTTCGGGGTCAGGGCATGGTACTTGGTGATTTCACTAATTTGGACCCAACCTTCTCTGTGCGGTACTTGGTATAGTTTTGCTAAACTCTCTGCTGTATCACTGCTGAATGTGACATTGAGACAGCTCCCCCCTACAGAGTAAGTTGGTTACAAATCCAGTACTTACAAAACTGAGTAAAAATACTGCAGTTGACACTTGAACAGCACTCGTTTGAACTCTTCAGCTCCACTTTCACATGTATTTTTTATTATTATTATTATTTTATAAATGCAGTACTGTAAATGTATTTTCTCTTATGATACCCTTAATATTTTCTTTTCTTTCACTTTATTGCAAGAATATGGTATATAATACACAAAACATACAAAATATGTGTTAATCTGACTATGTTATTGGTAAGGCTTCTGGTCAATAGTGAGCTGTTCATACTTAAGTTTTGGGGGAGTCAGAGTCATACATGGATTTTCAACAACATGGGGGGATGGAGCCCCTAACCCTTGCATTGTTCAGGGGCAGCTGTAATTCACCCATAGCGATTTCGTGTTCTCTTGTTTTTCTTCCAGTGCGTAGGAAATCACTGATCACATCGAAGCTGATTAGCAGTTGAAAATCACTAAGGCATTTATGTCTATCATTTGGAACTGGATAGTTGCAGAAGCAGGGATCAGTAGTTTCCCTGGCTGAGTTTTTATTAGTGATAATAACCTTTTGTTGACATTGCCTGACAAAGAAATATGATCTGTAGGGGGAACTCCGGGAGATTTGTTAGCACAGAGAGTTCGACTCTCAAGATTCATTCTCACAAAGCTTTTTGCCTTGTGCCTTGTACTTGAGTGGTCTTGCTTACACACTGCTCCTTTACCCCCTAACTCCTTGTTTGTTTGTACTGAAATGAGGTCAGCAAATAGAATTTGTGGCTTTTACTTCATAGAAGGGCAAGGGTTTTGAAACAAACTTTACACTTTGTCCCCCTTAGAGATATTTTATCTGTTTTTCTTTCATATTCTGCTATCTAAAGCCTTGGTTTTTATCTGTCCATTAACTGTAAATTCATGTTGGGTTTTTTGTGTTACTGAATAAATTATTCTTCTGAATTCTAACCTTTAAGACATATATGAGTATGAATACTATTTAAAGTGATATTTTTTTTAAAGTGGTTATTTATTAAATGAGGATGTGTGTCAGTAGGAGACAACATGCAGTGTTTGATGTGATTCCATACTTGTTACATGCCCCATTGCTTTCATTCTTCTATGTATTGTCGACTTTAAGAACACCTTCAGCTTAATAACAGCTCTTAGAGGATAGGATAAAGAAACATTAAATAGACCTATCAATTACAGTATGCATCTGGACTTTGAAAATGAGGAAAGAACTGAGGAAATGTGACAGCATAAGAGCCAATACATGGCAGTAGTTAAATGTCCTGGCCTTGTGATCAGCTGTACCTAGGCTTAACCCCAGCTCTGCAGCCATTAGTTGTATGACCTTGTGTAGGTGACACTTTCATTGTGCCTCAGCTTTGTGTATAAAAATTGGCATGCGACATCTGTTCATATAAATACTACAGTAATTAAATGATATACTATATATCTGGTAATCAAATGTGGTGGTGGTAGTGATTTTAGTAGTAGTTATTGGTAATATTACTGTTAGCAAACAGTAGAATTTTTCAGTAGAAATTGTCTGCCTGCCTATCTATCTATCTATCTATCTATCTATCTATCTATCTATCATCTCATCTATTCTGTCTGAAGAATACAATTCAGTCTCTGCGCTGGGGAATAAACTATGGACATACTTTTTCAGTTTTGCTTCTTGAGTGCTTCTACCTTGTTGGGTATTCTGTATTTCCTAATCTGACTTTAATAGAATCGTGTAGTCTTTAACCCTAAAAGGAAGTTCATTTATAATCTTCAGAAAACAGATTGGGTTGCTTTGAGAATGATTTTCTACATTGTGAACAAGGAAGATTGTTGTTTAAATTCATTTTCAAAATAAAAGCAGGTGAAGCCAGTGGGTTTTTTTCGTTTTTGTTTTTGGTTTTTTGTTTTTTTTTTTTTAATGCAGCAATACTCCAAATTGACTCTGCCCACGGGGAGTTGCATTGTGGCCAGCAGAAACTATTGCCAATTACTAACCCATCTAACCTGTAATGAGTTGGGTGAAGGCTTGAATTGTTTCCATCCTCCTTGATGGTACGGAAATTACAGAGGCAAAAGCCACTTGCAGAATTGCCTGAATATTGAATAAAGAATTGCTATGTAGCTCTTTTACTGGTAGGTAGAACCTTTGTAGAAGAATTACATCCAGCTTCCTGAGAGGTTTTCTTACAAAATATGTGTCATTTCGTTGAATAATGTTAGAGATTACTGTACTTTGTCAATTTCAAAATGTACATTTTCTCCCACATTTTTATATTTTAAAAATCAGAGATATTCCTTACAAATGATGACATCTCAGAATTGGCCAGTTGGCAGGTATGATACAGTTGTCATATGCCTGTACACGAGTGAACTTGGTCATAGCTGTCTATATTCTTGTCACTTCAGTTGAATTTTGTGCATTTTGGGTATTATATGAGTTGAGTTCAATTGCCGTTTAATGTGTCTTCAGGAGGATTACCCTGTAATTTGACGTTGAAACACAGTGTACATACAACAGCATGGAAACAGAAGTGGGGCACAACTTGGAGAGGAGGAGAGCAGATTATCACTGTTGAAGAAGTAGCTGGGGCTTCTTGCTCTCCTGCCAGGCCATAGCCACATGCTTCACCACTCACAGAGGAAAACACCTCTGCAGAAGAGACTGCAGTGTTTCTGTGTCTGCAATTTCCGCTCAAGGATTGCATGTCACATGCCACACAAGAAAGCCAGCAGTACACTTGCAAAATGAGCATCACTGGCTTAGAAGAATACCTCTGAGGTACTCGTGAGGAATGCCGCCTGTATTCCCAACATTCTTGATGACACAAGAATTGAAATAATGCAAAAAAGCGTGTTTGGATTTGAAGTACAGAAGTTTAAGACATTTCAGGAATACATCAGCCAATTAATTTTGCATAATTTTTTACATGTGCAAGCATAATGCATAATAAAAAGTTATGCTTAAAGTCAGAAAGTTTTCAGCATTTTTATAATTTAAAAGTTGTAAGTGATAAGAAAACATTTTGATACTTCAATTGGTGATGTTTTCATTTTCAATAGTACACCTTATCTGCGATTATTTGATTCCGTGACTTGCTAAGTTTTTTATTAAGACTCTAAATATAATTATTGGTGTGATTCTTGCAGGTGCCTAATGGATAAGAACTTCGTTAGGATTGGGAAGTGGTTTGTCCGACCATATGAAAAGGATGAAAAACCAGTCAACAAAAGGTGAGTCTTATGATCCTTTAGTGTTTTCCTTTCTTTTGCTTGACCATAGCTGTGTTTTGGGAAGAGATGGAGGGGAAGCAGTTTATCTATTTATTTGCTAACAGTCTTAGTTTAGATCTACTAAAATAGGCTTTATTAAATAAAACTTTATTAGTTAGTGTGTTATTATGCATTTTATTAAATAGTGTATTATTAAGTTTTTGTGGAATATTGGACTAGAAGGATAATCAGTAACCTATATCTAAGCCCCTTCTTACCATACTATTTGGGATTAAAATATTCTGTTTTGTTCTTTTCGTCATCCTCTTTTATCTTTCTTAATTTGAGGTGTTACATGCATAACTTTAAAAACAGCCAACGGAATTCAAATGGTGACAGTTTTTATAGAATTGATTGATGCCACTTAAAAGTCTGTGAAAACAGCCTTGAAAAATCTCAAACCAGGACTGTGAATTACTTTTCTAAACAGTCCTAAACTTTCGACCATCATTTATTGAATGCTAAATAAGCGTGGAGTTTTAGATCGATCAAACCAGGTTCAAAAACCAAAACCTTCAAAGGCAAATATTTATCGCACTCACCTCTGGACACAGCGTAGACTTAATTGGAATCATAAGTTGATGGGACATTACTTGATATCTGAAGAGCAGGGCACACAAACTCAGTCTCTTTGACTGTCCTTGAACTTGCCGCAAACTCAGGGTTCCAGCTCCGGGCTGCAGATGAGACTCGTGAGACCTTAGATGTTAAGTGTGAGGTTAGGTCATTTTTTGTGGTTTGCCCCAAGTTTGGCTGGCAGCTCCTGCCCGTTCTGGAACCTTTATCTTCTTAGCTTCATTGTTCCCACCTGCGACTTGTTCCCACCTGCGACTTAATTAGCATCAGCAGCTTCCTCTCCAACCTGTTTGTCTTAAAGCTTTGATGAAGTGGTTGTGGATTTCATTAACCAAACGTAATTTATGAGAATTAGGATTTCTTTTTTCAATTCATATGCGTTACACACTGGCATTAAGTTTGCCTGAAAAGGATAATAATGCTTTTAGAAAGGTGTCGGTATGTATGGGTGTGTAAAGATTCGGTTTTGTTTACAGATGCTTTGATGGAAAGGGATTTTTCCCCCTTTATTTATATTGATTTGGTCTAACTAAAGTATTTGCTCCATGGGCATAATTCTTCTTAGTGTTTCCTTAAATTTACAGAGGATGTAGATTTTCCGAGTGGTTAAAGTTTTGGTTTTTATGTTGATAAGTGACTGGTTCTATATGGAGTTGCTTTGGCACCATCATCTTTACCATTCACTCCTGTGTGCCTCTCTATGCTCAGTGCGCAGTCTCGGAGCTGGTGCCTGATGGCACAAACTAACATCAGTAGCTGTAGGTGTTTGTATGATGATTTCATAGGGATTAGGGGATGGAGGGGGAATGTGGAAATGAAATAGGGATTGAGAGTAGTAATTAGATCTTCAATAATAAGCACTAATGTTTGAAGTCAAATGTAATTATCAAACTATTTTATATAATGTTTGTATATTTTTGCACTTCATTTACATCCTAGAAGTCTTCCTAACCTTCACAAACCAGATGTGAATAATACTTGCAGTATATTTAGATATTTGATTTTGTGTACCTGGCAGGCTATTGATTTCTGAATTACAAGTGTAACAGAATTATTTTTTAGTTTGAGATCTTATATTTATGGTTGAAGGTAAAACTTCATTTTATTATAGTATAGAAATGTTAATGATTTTGAAAAACTATTTTATGAGGTGTTAACCATTGGAACAATTTTAAACCAAACACTCAGTTTTAAATGTTGGCGTTTGCTATAATAAAACTTTGTTAGGTATAATGACTTCTCCACTTTTATTCTCTGAATGGAAAATAGAGCCTCTTGTTTGATGCTGAAACAGGGTCTTAGTGTTCAGGTCATTTTGGATGGACAGACTGATGCTGTGGATGAGGGCATTTGAATATAGATTTGGGATCATGCCTCTCTTCAGAAGCTGTTTGCTTCTGGAGAAGTTGTTTAGTTTTTCCGAACTGCACTTTGTGTTTTGCTGTAACAGAGCTGGTGATAGGAGCTGCTATGTCAGGGTCATTGCAAAAACTAAATGAGATCATTGATGTGACTGGTTTGTAGTCGAGAAAAAGCAAAAACAAATTACAATTTTTAGGCTTAGTTTTGTGTGTGTGTACACGCATATTAGTTTAGTGACCGATGGAGAGGACAATTTGTCCAGTGCGAAACTTATGCACAAATTGACATTTTTAGGAATGCTCTTATTTGATGCTATCAGATAGAAACGAGAAATATATTTCAAAGGATATTTTAAATATAAAGTTAAGTAATTGTAGCATAGATACTTTTTTCAATAGATTAAAAGTTGATTTAACACACTGCATATTTTACATAGTGAAAATGATTTTAATAGTGATGACAAGTGAATATATTGATGAATAGATTTCACCTGTTGGATTAACAACCTGATTTCTTGAGCTCTGATTTTTTTCTTTACAGTGACACATCTTTTGTTACTCACAACCTTAGGAAAGAAAACTTTTGACTTTGTCCTAAAGAAATGTGACAAATAAAATCAAACATACAAAATTTCTGGTTTTCTAAGATATGTTCAACTTGAAAAAACTTTTCCTTCCAGGATATATTTAAAAACAAACCAGTGAAAAATATATTCTTTTCTAATAATTTAGAAATTATTCATGGAGATTCTATTTAGTTTCAGCCCACATTTGATCACTACAGAATTTGAAGTTTATACATTTTATTTTTTGAATGCTAGTTTTAGCAAAATAATCGCTCCCGATAACAGTTTGGACCTTTAATTTTTTTTTCTGGTATCAGTGTATCGTAGTTAACAGAAAAACATATTTGCTAGTGCATTTTCTGAATTAATCAGCTGTCTCTTCCTCATGGGTAAGCCTACCTTGAGTGATTCTCAAAAAAGCCTCCAATACGTTTAAATATTCTAATTACTTTTGTATGTGCTGCTAGCAGACATGCATGTTCAGACACACACACAATTGGAAGTATATTATTTTGACTGCCTTTATCTGGATTCAAACCAGAGATTATCTCTTTAATTTTTTTAATGTTCTTACACTACCGCACCTATTTTTCAAGAAATGCCCTTACCTTTTGATTTTAATAGCCAAAAAAATAAAATAAAATAAAAAATAAAATACATTTTATGTAACAAGATGAAATACTTTGATGCAGGAAAATATTTTTTAGCACTTTAAAACTTCCCTGCCCCCTTTCTCCTCAGTGGCCCCCCCCCCCCCAGCTTTTCTCACTCCTTCTGGCTCTTCTAGTCCTCCTCTTTCCTGTACTTTCCTTGTGATGTTTCCATCTAGAGATGAGCAGATGACAAGGCAGGGGAAGGAATTCCTCATGTAGAGGATAAGCAGACAATGGAAACAACTGCTTAGAATGTGAAAGAGAAAGGGAGTCTCTTCCTAGTGTCCAGAAAAATATGATCATTGGTGATAGTTTTTTTCAATTTTTCTCATAAATTTACTTTGTGCAGGTGGTGCGTTTTACCACGTATCTGATAATGAGGGCTCTCTGATGGGAAATCCATAAAAGAATATTAATGGGACAATTTGGGCTTATCTAATCATGTGTAATAGTTTCACAGCCTTTTTCTGATCTATAAAATATGTAGTCATTTTCTGTTGGTTGTATCTGATGGGGGATATAGCAGAAGATGCTGTGCACTTTGTCGTTGGAATGTGTTTGAGAATCATATGCAAGGTGAGAAGAGGGATGTGGTGAGAGTCTTGAGTGTGGGCATTTGTGGGTGGGTGGAGAAGGAAGAATATATGCATGGAGACTGAGAAAGATAAATGAGAAGCGAGAGCCAAGATGGTTGGTGTCACCAAAACCATGGATCTTTAAAATTTCATGATTAATCAGCTGTGTCTGCCACACGGTCCGCGTAAAATACATTCTAAGAGGACAGTTAGATTTGGCTTTCAGCGGTGTGGGAGGTTTGAAGTTGCAGTAGCTTGAGGTATAAATGGGGGTTGAAATGAAGATCTCGAATACAGGGTTCTTGCTATATTTGTTACAAGTGATTGCAAAGGAAAAACTCCTGCACCCTTGAAGGGAGGAGAGAAGCATTCAAGGAGCGTTTGTGATTAAACTGCCTGTACTCTGTGTGGTTTTACAAAATGTCTTTCATGTGCCACTGCACTGTTTTGTTCACAAACGTTATGCACAGTTTTAGTGTTCAACTGAAAGGCCAGTTCAACCAGAGGTGATGACAGTTAACCATATTCTGTCTAGATAGCTCTTTTACTTTGTCTTACTTTCCGTTTTCCTTCATAGCCAAAACAGAATTAGCACCTCTTTTAATTTTTTATTTGTTCTATTCTAAAAAGAATATAATAAAAAATGTATATCTTCAACATCAATAATTGTCATAGTTTAAAATAAAAGTTTCAATATATACTGTCTGCTTTCAAGAAGAACTTTATATGTGCCTTGTTTTTTTAATGTACCTAGAGAGGTTGGGTGAATATCATTGCTATAATTCCCTTTTTAATTCCTGCCAGTGGATTGAAACAAAGCTGGAAACAAAGCTCCTTGTTCCGTAGACCATCATCCAGAATCCAGAAATATGGATGACCTTCCATTAACAATTAGACCTTGCGGGACTTACTTTTAGCATTGTTTTTTTTCTAAAATGTTTTTCAGTTTTCAGATTCTCTAATTTTAGGAGAAGTGTAGAATCTAGGCATGCCCCAGATCAGTCAGTTTGTCTGCCTTGCCTGCGTACCTGTCGACATATCTATCTCTCTTTTTTTCTTTCCCTGTGTGTATATATGCATGTATATGCGTGCATGTATCTATCTACCTATATGTATGTATCTTTCCTTCTTTGTTTCTTCACATGTTTGGTTTTGTTGTAAGCAGAGAGTGACTCCTTTATTTACCAAACGAAGGGATTTGATATTACTCTTTCAATGTATCTGCAAGTT